AGTGTCATCATCACCATCAGTGTCATCATCATTACCACCAGTGTCATCATCACCACCACCAGTGTCATCATCACCATCAGTGTCATCATCATTACGACCAGTGTCATCATCATCATTACCACCAGTGTCATCATCATGAACACCATCATCACTATCATTACCTATGTCCTTTCAGCTGGATCATTCCTCTTGCACCAGCTTCCTCCACGAATCTTTTTTCCAGTTCTTCATTCCCACTTTCATTTCCTATTCTCAGTGTAATGTTCATGCGGGAACGAGAGCCTTGCTTGACTTTGCCACTAGAAAAAAACCATCATCAACATTACTTAACATCATCATAATCATCTCAAGCCCGGGATCTTGGGTATAATAGTCCGTTTCACAGTTCCCTGCGCCATCTCGAAAGGCAGCTGTGCCTTTGAATTGAAGCGAGACGAATGGTGAGCTTGCAATGATAGAGACATTTGAATGATTGTCCAAGGTGTTAAAAAAAGGTCTCTGTCATTGCAAGCTCACCATTCGTCTCACGTTGATGCAAAGGCACGACTACCTTTCAAGATGGCATAGGGAACTGTGAAAGGGACTATTGCTGGACGCTGCATTACAATCAAGTAGATTTTGTTAATCGATCAATCCTTTGATTCAAGGATTTTTCTAGGGTTTTCTGGTTTTCCTCCCTCCATAAACCCTAACATGCTAAAGTTCTATTCGATCTAAGAATTAGCCATGCTCTTACTTAAAGCAGCACAGGGGTTGCTTCATGATTCTATCTGTTAGTTAGCCGTGACCTGACTTAGATTAGCCCAGAGGTTGTTACAGGGTTCGATCTGTGATTTAGCCATGCCCTGACTTAGATCAGCCCAGAGGTTGTTTCAGGGTTGAATCTGTGATTTAGCCATGCCTTAACTTAGATCAGCCCAGAGGTTGTTTCAGGGTTCCATCTGTTAGTTAGCCATGCCCTGACTTAGATCAGCCTAGAAGTTGTTTCAGGGTTTGATAAAACAAGCAGCTCATTGTCATACCTATAGAATCCATTCGATGAATCAATGATATCGTAGATCAAAGAAGATTTCATGACACTTCTCTTGTTCATCTCTAGAAATGCAAATCAAAACATCCAATAGATTAATGTTACTTCAGTGAGCCAAGAAAATGATTGCAGTTACTGCGCAATAGACCTTTCCAGCCTGGGTGTTTAATATGTTTTTCCATTTCAGACCATATGGCACAGATTAATTATAATTGCCATGCTATTAAATCTGACAGCTAAATTTTAAACGATAATAAATAAATAAATAAA